TCAGAATCGACATACCCATTTATAAGTAAGTTTGATCCTCCGTAACATAATGCAACATTTGAGGTCCCTTTGATGTATCTTAGGATCCTCTTTACAATATTCTAATGCTCTTTGCATGGATTCGCCATGTACCGACTAACCACTCACACTGCTTGTGCAATGTCTGGTCTTGTGCATATCATAGCGAACATTAAACTTCTCACTGTTGATGCATACAGTACTCGAGACATCTCCATCCTCTCTTCTTCACTGCTAGGACTCATACTGGAGGATAATTTGAAGTTAATAGGAAGAGGGGTAGAAATTGGCTTACAATCTTGTATGCTGAATCGTGACAAGATATTCTTCAAGTAATTCATTTGTGAAAGTCAAATCATCCTATTACTTCTGTCTCGGTGAATTTGTATCCCTAGAATCTTGTTTGCTGATCCCAAGTCCTTCATTTCAAATTCCCTATCCAGTTGTGCCTTCAATTCTTCAATATGATCTTTGTTGGGTCCTGCAACCAATATGTCATCCACATACAACAACAATATAACAAAATTGTTATCACCAGACCTCTTGAAATAAGCACAAGGGTCTGCATTAAGTCTGTTGTATCCAAGGCACATAATGAAGGAATCAAATCTCTTATACCAACACCTCATCACCTGCTTTAGACCGTACAAAGATTTGTTCAACCTGTAAACCAAGTTCTTCTTTTCGTCTTCTTCAAAACCTTCAGGCTGGAGCATATAAATCTCTTCTTCAAGATTTCCATGAAGAAAAGTTGTTTTAACATCTAGCTGTTCCAGATGTAAATTCAATGTAGCACACATTGCCAAGACTACTCGAACTGTTGTTAGTCGAACCACAGGAGAAAAAATTTCATTGAAATCAATACCTTCTTTCTGAGCATATCCTTTGACCACCAGTCTTGCACGATACCTCTCCACTTGATCGTCACCATTTCGCTTGATTTTGAAAACCCATTTGATACCAATTGGCTTCCTTCCTTGTGGTAGTGGCACAAGGTCCCATGTATTATTTTTATGAAGGGCTTCAATTTCTTCTTGCATCGCCATCATCCACAGTGAAGCATATGAACTATTTATTGCCTCCTGGTATGTTGATAACTCACCGTCCTTTGTTAAAAGACAGTATGCAATATTACCTTCTATAATATAATCTGAGTGACAATTAGGACGTCTTCTCACACGATCTGATTGACGAGTTGTTGGAGCTTCAGAACTCTCTGGTTCTTGTTCATCATGTGCTGGTTCCGCTTCAGAAGAATCTCCTTGTTCAACCTCCTTTTCTACATGTATCTGTGTAGTCTCTGAATTTTCAGCGCTATCATCGTCTTCTTTTCTTTGTAGTTTATCCTCTACAAAGATAACATCCCTACTGATGATCACTTTATGGGTAGTGGGATCCCACAAGCGATACCCCTTTACACCATCAGCATACCCCTTTACACCATCAGCATACCCCAAGAATTTGCATTTCCTGGATTTTGGATCGAGCTTTGAAATTTCTTGGGAGTTGTACATCACGTACACAATACTTCCAAATACATGGAGGTTTGAATAATCAGCTGGTTTACCAATCCACATCTCCATTGGTGTTTTCAGCTCTATTGCAATTGATGGAACTCGATTCACCAAATAACAGGTGGTATTGACTGCTTCTGCCCAGAATGATTTTTCTAGGCCTGCATCCCTCAACATTGCTCTTGTTCTTTCTAACAAGGTTCTGTTCATCCGCTCTGTCACTCCATTTTGTTGAGGAGTGTTCGCCACTATGAACTGTCTTTTGATACCTTCTTTCCTGCAAAAGTCATCAAATTCTTCGCTTGTGTATTCTCCTCCATTATATGTTCTGAAACACTTGATCTTATTTCCAGAATCAAGTTCCACCCGCGCTTTGAAGTTTTTGAAAGTTGAAAACATATCTGACTTCTTTTTAATAGGGTACACCCAACATCTCTTGGAGTAGTCATCAATAAATGAGACAAAGTATTTTGCTCCGCCAAGGGATGTAACCGGTGCTTGCCATACATCATAGTGAACCAATTCTAGAACACTTTTGCCTCTAGAATTTGATGTGTTGAATTTCAACCGGTGCTGCTTACTTGTTATGCAATGCTCACACAAAGGAAGTAATACATTTGTTAAGCCTGGAAGTAGCTTTTTCTCCACAAGGACTTTCATTCCTTGTTCTGACATGTGTCTAAGTTTCTGATGCCATAGTATTGTTGAATCTGAACTACATGAGGCAATAAAGGCTTCTGCTTCTACCAAAGTCTCTCCCTTCAGCATGTACAAGTTTGCAGCTATCTTTTCACCTTTCAGCACCACAAGCGCTCCACGGAACACCTTCATGATTCATTTCCGTGTTTCAATCTTGCTTGCATTATTATCCAACAATCCGTAGGGTAATAAATATTTCTTCAGGCCTTTCATGTGCCGCACATCTCGAACAACTTTAATTGTTCCATCATACATCTTCAATTTGATGGTTCCCACGCCAATGATCTCTAAGGCATGATCATTGCAACTATACACAGATCCTCCTGAGACAGGTTCATAATGATGGAACCATTCTCTTCTTGAGGTCATGTGATATGTTGCTCCTGAATCAATGAGCCATATATCTGCATATTTCTTTCTACCTTCCACGGTGGTTGACGCTTCACAGCATAGAGTATCTCCATCATCTGAAGTGTTTGCGGTATTGCCTTGTGGATTGAAGTTTTTATTGAGACTCCAACAATCCTTCTTCAAGTGACCATTCTTTTCACAGTGGTAGCACTTTAAATTCTTCTTGCTCCTCGACTTCAATCTACCATGTTTATGACTGCTGCTTTGGCCACGTTCCGTTGATCTCCCTCTCATCGTTGTCAACGCTTCTGCTTGTTGCAGATTTACTTGTCTGTCTTCTTTGTTCTTGCGTCGATTTTCTTCTTGTAGAACAGCAACTGCAACGTCATCGAAGACTAGACTGGTGACATTGTTGTTTGTCAAGTTGATAATGAGTTGATCATACGAATCCGATAGACTTCGAAGTAGAAGTTCAGCATATTCTTGTTCTCATATTTTACAGCTTAAGGATGTAAGCTGAGAAAATAAGGTGTTCAGGTGTATTTAAGTGCTCCGTCACTGAAGTAGATTCTGACATCCGGAGAGTGTACAATTTCCTCTTAAAGAAAATTTTATTGTGCAACGATGTGGCCTCGTACAATTTGGTGAGATGATCTCATATCTCCTTAGTTGTCTTCTTCTCCTCGATGCTTGACAATACTTTATCTGCTAATGCTAGATGAAAGCTTGCCATAGCATTCTCGTCCATTTCGATCCATTTGTTGTCATCTGTGAAATCCACCGGCCTTTCATTGATAGCTGCTAGACAACCGTATTTCCTCAGGATGGCCTTCATCTTCAATTTCCACAATGAGAAATTTCTCCCATTGAACTTTTCAATATCAAATTTCGTTGCCATAGCTTCTATTTCGGATAGCTCCCACTATTTCACTATCGTGAATAGTTCTCTAGAACCGTCAAAGAATGGGTAATACCTTCTTACTTTCTTATGTTGGAGGATCCACCTTTTGGTGGCAACCACAAAGACAATAAGAAGATATTACACACTCAAATCTGGCTCGGATACCAATTGTTGCGAAAGACGGCTATCAGATAGAGCAAAATCACAACTGATAATTTGAGAAAATAAAAATAAAGATAAAAGAGACACAAAATTTACGTGGAAAACCCCTGAATAATATAGGGTAAAAACCACGGGCAACGGTAGAAGAATTTCACTATGAGAAAATAGGAATTACAACTTCTCTCGATCGACCAAGGAGAAAACAATGATAATTCTCTCTTGATAAAAAAAGAGAAAACAACTCTCAAGAAACTCTCTAAATTCTCTCTAGTATTGTAAGAAAGCTAGAATGCTTCGGGATGGTTTTGAAGCTAAATGAGATAGGATATTTATAGCTAAATCTTAAGGACTTAATCTTGTAAATACCCTAAAGTTTAATGATTAAAATGTATAATTTTACCAATTATTATTTCAACAATTTGGTGCCTAACTTGGATCAATTTTCAGCCGCCCAAAGCAGCCCCATATGCTGCCAGCCGCCCATGCATTGACATTTCAACATATGGATTGTTGAGTTTTTCATTTTCAAAGTAGCTAAAGTAGTGGGGTGAGCAGGAGGTGTTTATCAATTTGGGTTACAAGCATTTTCAGTTGGAATTTTTGTAGGGTCGAGTGTTGTAGTTGTTGATTGATTGAGCTGGCAGGGTGTGGGGACTTTAAGCGCTTGGGAGAAGGGGTTTTAAGGGGTGGGCTTGCTGCTGCATTTTTTTTTTTTGAATTTGAAGGCCTCCCATAGGATATCGAGAAAGATTTTATTTCTAAGCTTGGTGGAAAATATATGTTTATTTGGTGTTGTTTCTAGATTCTCTCATGTTTTGATCGTGCCGAAAGGATACTGTTTGTTATGGGCTATTCTTTGCAGTGGAATATGGTGTTGTTTTGTTTGGAGTTCGGTCTGCATCTTGGTGGGGATTGGTCATCTTAGATGGGTGTTATATTTTCACTGTAGTTCCTTGTTGGTTTTATTTTTCAATCTTATAGAGTTTCGTTCACAGGAGAGTGGTCAGATTAGTTGGGAGTTTATTTTCAATGTCTTTTCTTGTTCAGTAGGATAGATTGTACTTTTTTCCTCCTATTAAGTTGAAGGAGATTTTTAATGAGATAATCTACTCGAGTCTTGATAGCTTAATACTATAATAAAATCTTATTTGCCGGAAAAAATCATTCCTTATTTTTATTCAAAAATAAGAAAACTAATTAAAGAAAAAAATAACATATATTATAAGGAATAAGAGCAAAGTAAAAAAGAAAGAAAAAATTAAGTATGAATGATGAATTAAAGACTGATTCTATCATGAATAAGACAAAAATAGAAAAAGTAGGAGCAAAGAATAGATAAAAATAGCACATGTTGTTCGACCTAAATAGAAAATGAATCAAACGAAAAGCTTTTGGCCAAAAAAAAAAAAGAGAGAAAGAAATGCGTTGTGTTTACCAAATAGAAACATTCAATCTCAACGTAAAACCAACCACTCAACTTCAAAGAAAAAACCTCCTCCCATGCATGCCCTAAATTACTCCTCACCCTTGTTTTTTCTCACCTTTGTCACCTCCACCATTTCTTTCGCACCCCATCTCTCCCATGGAGGATGAGCGGGTCGTCGCCGGTACCCGGTTGCTGTCGTCGACACCCCACACCACCACTAATCTCATGAATTTGCCTCCCCCTCCAGGCCACCCCTTAGCCACCTACGTCGTCCAAGTCCCTAAAGACCAAATCTACCGCGTCCCGCCGCCCGAGAACGCCGGCATCGTCGAACGCCACCGCAAGGCGGCTAAGGCCGGAGGCAAGAAAAGCAAATGGAACTGCTCCACCTTCTTGATATGGTTCCTGATTGTTTTTCTCCTCTTATGTGTTATCGTTGGCGGAACCCTAACGGTGATTCACTTCATTTTCACCCCCGTAGCCCCCAGTTTCTCCGTCACAAAGCTCCATGTTAAGCAACGGAAACAAGGCAGCCCACCTACGTATCATGTTACGCTGAAAGCCAAGAATATGAACGAAAAGATGGGGATCGAATACAAATCAGATGAAGACGGCGGGAGTCTTATTTTCTGGACGAAAACCCTCGGATTCGGAAACTTTCCCGGCCTCAAACAAAACGTCGGCGATTCGGGCAACGTCAATATTAAAATCCAAGGCTTGAAAGGGAAACAGGTGCCGACTATGGTTCAGAAGAGCATCAGCGACAAAAAGACGAAACGCCAAATTTCTTTGAAGCTGAAACTCGAATGTCCGTTAGAGTTTAACGTTTGGATCTTAAAGCTTTGGAAGAAAGACTTGGATGTCAACTGTGACTTTAGGGTGAGCACCATGGCACAAGGAACCAAAATTTTGTCCCAAAAGTGTAAGACCAAATTGTCTTAAAGATTGATGCACAAGGTAAATTAATCTTAATAAATATAATATGTTATTATAGGTTTAATGCTTTGAGATTTGAGAATCATATTATATTAGTAAATTGTATATATATATATATATATATATATATATATATATATATATATATATATATATATATATATAAATGATTAAGGTCCACTTATATACAGAGTAAAACTTTTAATTTGACATAGTTTTAGGATAATTGGATGAGTAGAAATAGACGGTTAATATTATATCTGTGGTTTTTCTTTCTCGTAAATATCTTCACATTTCTTATTATTGATTACAACAGCCTACTTTCACTCGTCTAATGATCCTGAAAAGATATAAAAGTAAAAAGGTTTGATATAGTGTAAATAGATCTGATATATAAAACGGTGAATCCACAACCTCTTGAGGGTGGACACTGTAATATGAATTTTTTCGATTAATTACTAATTTTAATGATGTTACCCATCATAAAATTTTATTTGTACTCATTTCATTCAAAAAAAATTTGTAATGTCATATATATTACTTGAGTTTGGTGAAGAGGTTCATTGCTTTGGTTTGCTTTACTTTTCTTGTTAAGTGCACATTCTGACCTTGTTAAAATTTTGCATTTAGGTTCGGCCAACGACCTCTTGAGATCTCTCCATGCTAATGTTTGTTGAATCTTCTTCTACTTTTACTTTTCCTTATTAAAAACTTCCAAGAATAATGTACTAGTTTTTTTTATCCCTTGTTATTACTACGTTGGTATTGATTATATGAGCTGTTAGATAAACCTAGTTTTCGCATTTTCTGTGGATCAAGATATATCACATATAATTTCATTCGAATTTAAGGGAAATTATTAAAAAATAGAGAATTTACCTGGATGGAGATTTGTAGTATATTTTTTTAGTAAAATGACATGACTTTTTTTTGTAACATACTTAAATCATACATCTTTCTGACTATTACAATAACAACTATATTAATTAAACTCAAATTAATAACATTTAGTAATAATTTGAATGTTCTTTTTGGTGAAGTGAATAACTTATGTTACTCAAATGCATTAAAAAATAATATGACACAAAAATAACATATGGTTTGAAGAAAAATAAAACCTTTACAATTATGATAAAAGCTTACATTATTGATATAAATTATATAATTTCTCATATTTTAATATCATTTTTACTATATATATATATATTAGTAGAAAACAAATTCCACCAAAGTGACTTCTTTTGTGTAATGTAACATCAAATAGTATGTTGAGACGATTCGACTCGAATATTGAATATCACGTTAATCACTAAGTGACCTACATATGCATTCATGTTAGGAGTTTATTTAAACATGATTAAACAAAGATTTAATTAACATAACATCTTTAAACATACATTGGAAGCAAATACAATTAGTGTGTGAGAAAAAAATCTATGGCGACGTGTTTGAATTTAAGAAAATAATCAATTCCATACATAAGAACGTTTTCATCATTTCACATCAAACACTCCTAAAACATGCCAAAATACAAATTAATAGTATCAAAGGATTAAAATGCACATATAATATCTCTACACAAAACCTCAACTCAATTAGAATTCAGAACAATATGAAATGCAAAAACAAGGTTTTTAGGGATGAAATTGAAAAAATATAAATAATTTCAGTACTGAATATAAAATATCTAATTCCAAATTCAAATTAAATTAATTTTAAATTCATAGACAAAATTTTAGGTCATTTCAAGTTAAAAGTACCATTTAATTGCACTTGCAAAAATTTTGGACTAAAATGTAAATATACCCAAACCTAACGTTTACCCAATATTAAAACCATAATCCAGTAGCTCACTTTAGTACGGTAATAACAATATATTACCAATACTCCTTAGAATCTATAATAAAGGCCCGCTATTGATATAAAACTCATCCAATATTGACATTTGTTCATCTAGTATCGAGGTTAAAAATTAAAAGAATAAATTTTTCATGTTTTAAAGATAGAAATTAAATACTTCGACCATCACCAAACATCCTAATCATGGTCCTAACATATTATCAACATATCAAGAATCAAAAAGCACTTTTGCAAGCTAATTTTAACAATAAAAAACACACAAAATTAATATTTATACATTATGGTTCATTTTAAACCATGTTGCTTTCAAGTTGGGCCTAACACTACTATTTCATACATTTTTATTCATTGCATTATATTAACAAGTGTAACATATCTCCATCTTGCTTTCAAACTTGTCCATGGGGAGAAGACATTTTAACAGAAAAACGTATCCTTATTAAGAAACTGAGTTCGAAATCAAAATATCCCAAAGTTGGATCCTATCTTTGCTTCAAGTTTCCCATTGATAGATGCATGTTGTTGATGGGAAAACAGTGGTTACGACGGTTGTAAATGGTTTACTCCATCTGATTGGGCGAAAAGTCACGACTGATGATTTAAGTGAATCGAAGAAGATATTATGCAATAGAGATCGAAAGAGAGAAAAAAGAATACAAATCCTTTCTTGAATCATGCATGACTACTTATATATTGACCTTTAATATGGATATCAGGACTAAAGTTATGATTATTATTCGTGGGTTAGCTAATAATTATGTCGCTAGATTGTAACGACCAGAGGATATAGAATCCCAAAGACTTTTAGGAACTCTGAAGACTTCGATTGACTAAAGAATTCCTTCAGAGACTCCGACCGGTGGTAGGGGTGTGGCTTGCAGAAAAGATCCGGATGAAGTATAACACAAGTAATGAACCTTTTGTCGCATGTGTTTGGTTTGGTTTGGTTTAAAGTAGATAAATATTGGAAATGACACTTAAACATCGACTGGGACATCGGCATTTTGCCCACCAACTATTTGTCTATTGTTCCCTTTGAGATCCATTCTAAATATTTGGGCACTTTTTCGCTGTCCCCCCGATCAGTATTCTCTTCTACTTGTTTCTTGCTGTTAACTTGTTTATTATACTATACGGGCACCATGTGATTTCATGCAGCCAAAACAAATGATGATACTTTTGACTTTATGGTCAGTTCACACAATTATAGATAAAGGGTGTCTTACGGTTTTTTCTGCAGTCAATTCAATTTAAAGAATTTGATGTTTGGAAATCCAGGTTCCTTTTCTCAAACCATACAGTCTGAATACGGCTCTCTGAAAGACTATATCAAAGATTCTTTTTAAGGTATGGTAAAGTCATACATACTAATATATTCAGGTGTGGGTGGGAAACCCTGTATTTGTCAAATGTTTCCGTTATGTTTTGTTGGGTCATTGTCAAGATCGGTTGACAACTGACACTTATTGTATGCAAAATTAGAGTTTCAAACTCTAAAAAGTTTCCCCTTTTGATCTGACACCTATTCAAAGTCTTTCATTAAATATTATATGATTGTCAGCAGGGCACTAGCACTTACCAGTCAGTGATCAGTTGTTATTTTAATAGGAATGAAGTTCTTTTAGCTGTCTTTCTAAAACACAATTCAAACCAATATTTCTTCTTTTAACTATAAAGTTCGAGCTCTTATCTGTATATATGGGTCATGTTGTGGATCTTTACAGGCTGAGCTGGTTACTTGATGCTTAGCTCTTTACTATTTTGATTTAGTGAATAGAATAATCATATGTTCCCTTACCAACTCCCACCATGTGATCTCCATGCACTTTTTCCCCCACAGCTTTGACACGATTTACAATACTTATCTGCTGAATATTTGATAAAGCTTAATTTCTTTATATCTCCTGTTAAAACCATGTGACCTGCTTTCCCATGCAACGTTTTATCTCAACTTTTGATTAGATTCTCTTTTACTTCGTTTTAGGTACTCAGATTTCATGAACCAAACTCTCTGACTCTTGCAGATTTCATATCTAGTTATTTATATGCCACATTTGCAGGTTCCTCATGCAATTAGTTTCATTTTTTCCCATCTCACTGCTGGTCATATTCTTTCCCAAATTCATGGTGTTGTGCAGACAGTTTTGCAGACTACAATTCTCCTAGGTATGGTTGGACTTTTCTTTCATTTTGTAGCGGTTCCGAAGTACAAAGTATTGAATTGTTTTTGAAAAGTAAACCTAATGCACTACAGCCGTTGTTTTAAGCTTAATCACGGCATATGTATAGGGCAAACAATTTTTATGCACAAATTCTCTGTAACATAAAAGTGGGCCACATATACATGTCAAATGCATTATTCTTGACTGTTAGGTACTTGTATGCATCTTGTGATCATAGTGTTTTAAATATTCTATAAAATTGAACTTGAAAAAAAGAAGATATAAAATCCAAGCTATAATTTCCTCGCTTTCTACTTGCTTCTGAGATCACTAGCATCAAAATGATAGGGGTCTATATATATATATTTAATAGTATATGATGATTACAAGATATAATCTGTTTAGAATATTTTTTAATTATTGACAACACATCCGTAGACATAACTGCTTAACCAAGACATTTAGAGAGAATAACATTTCATTTAACAACTGAGGTCACTCGATGAGTTTATAGGTCTATATTTTTCCTTTATTAATAAATCAACGGATACTGTTGTCACCGTCCTTTGACTGTATATGTATTTTAGATTGCAATAATTGCTTTATATATATAGCTTTTGTGTATGGTAGGCACTTAGGACCTGGGCTAGTGTTAATCATATCAAGCTTCTTCCATTAATAAGAGACTTAGGCCCGTAATGAAATTACCTAAAAGTTAAACCCAGAGTTATTCCTTAAACATGAGTTCTAACTTACATAAATGAGAAGGGAAACTAACTACAAACAAATAAAGGAAAAAAAAAGGCTTTGAAAGTACCTGCAAGATCATTTCTTTTAATGGAAGATTTTTTTATTACTTCTTTTTCAAAAGCAAGAAAGGGTTACTTGTGTACTCGGTCTTTTTCATATTTCTAGGAACAAAATTTCATTCTCCTAGATATAAAGCTTATTTTTCCGTTCACCTGGGTTTTACCATATAATTCCTAGGACAATGAAAAAGTAAATGTAAATAAAATAAATTGTCTGACTACTATTGCACGTTGCAAATAGTTGCGATAAATCTTTCTAGGAATAGCTTGTTTCACCCGTTTTGCTAGAAGATGGCTACAGTTATTCTGAATATGTCTGCAATGTCCACCATAATCTTGGTCATGAAACTTACTCTTACTACTACCTTTTAGTACCCTTTAATGATATACTTCTTAAAAACGAAAATTTTTATTTATGCTCGGTGTCTGGCTGTTATTCGGATTTGAATGCTGATTAATATTATTTTAAACCCTAAATCCTATTTTTCCACTAACTTGCTAAAACTTATAATATTTGTTTTAGACTAACGTCCATAACAGCTAATTGTACATGTTAAAACGTTAAAGAGCAAGCTTGGTGTTTTGTCTCCTGATTTCCTATGACATTTTCTTCTTGGGTTTCTCTCTAAGTTTGTTGGCTACCTTACAAAATACTGATACATTCCTTCAATTTTTCAATTAACAAGCTAAACACTATATTTTCCACTTACTTTTTAGTACTTAAACCCTATTTCTCAAGTTACATACAGGCACAAAAATCTGGACTCAGAAAGAAAAAAGAAAATGAAATTGTGTTGCTTGTTTTGCTATATTATGCTAAACTTATTTTGCTGTTATTTT